AAGTAATGTATATAACTGACTTAGTATAAAGTCACTATATATATGACCTTGTTGAAAATGAAGAAAGTACTTTCAAATAATGCAACCATCATTTAAACTAAAGGTGAATAGTATTTTCTGCATATGCAATTTTAAATGGAATGTCTCAATGATGCTATCAGCATGACACAACTGTTAAACCCAAAAGATATGCCGAGTCCTCCTTACCTGTCTCACTGCACAGTCATTGAAGTCCCAAACAACTAACACAGCAGTAACATAACAGCACCATTCCAGAAGATTCTCCAAGCCTAAGTAGTTCAGTCGAGCCTGGGTTTGTACAGAACATAGTGTTATTCTTCTAAAATAGCTTTCAATAGGAAAAAAAAGTGCTTTCCCAATTTTAGATAAACAGGCAACTTACCCGGAGATCTTTTCTTTCATTTTTTTTTTTCTAGAATGGTAAGCCAATTAAAATTTCATAGTGTGTGATAGTGAGTAGGAACCTAATCCTATCCCATTTAGTTTCCACTTATGAGATACGAATCTTTCATTAAGCTGCACTTGACATCTATGAACATTATTATTTAAGCAAAACACTTAGTGAAGATATATTTGCCTAAAGCGTGTAGCCAGGGTGACAGCTGTGAAGAACTTAATCATTCTTAAACATTTATATACAGACATTTATGAAATTATCAAGTGCATATAAATTACATTTAACATTTTGTCATTCTTTTGCTACATCAGTATATACATAAATTATGAAAAAACAGTATGTGCATAACAGTCTTCATCCTTTTCTTTCTTTGGGTTGATAATATATTTATAGATGATTATTATGAAAAAAAAATGGAGAATAAATTAAGTAAAATACGACATATCACAAATGGCGAAAAGGTGAAGACCTACATGGATGTGACTGCTCGAATTTATGTGCTATTCCGGACATCATAGACATTCAATACATAATTAAGATACATGGATGTGACTGCTTGTATTCATGTGCTATTCCGGACATCATAAACATTCAGTACATAATTAAGAACCAGAGACTTCCCGTATACATCCTTTTGACATTGAGAGAATTCAGATGTCAGATTCAACATTCAGAAAGTGCATGTCAAAGTACATAATAAACTAGATATGTCTGTGGTGTGAAAGACATTGAGTGATGGTAACATTACAAATTTTGTGTGTTTGTAACAATTTTAGTTTCCTTACCCGGACAGTATTAAAACATCCCTGGAACAATAGGCATCATAAAGTAATTTTCATATTACAATACCAGATAAAATGTTAAACATGTTTGGATACATTCAACTCATAAGTTTAATGGATTACAGTTAAAATGTATCCATTCTATATCATCATTAAATCTTACTGCTAAATAAAAGTAGTTTATGGTCTATTCTAACAATGAGATTACAAACTAATTCATTACTACAAAGTAAAGGCATATTTTGGATTTCTTTCTGGATGAATCTTGGTGTGTGTGTGTGTGTGTGTGTGTGTGTGTGTGTGTGTGTGTGTGTGTGTGTGTGTGTGTGTGTGTGTGTGTGTGTGTGTGTGTGTGTGTGTGTGTGTGTGTGTAGAGGTGTGTGTGTAGGTGTTCGTGTGTGTGTGTGTTCGTGTGTGGGTGTGTGTGTGTGTAGGTGTGTGTCTGTAGGTCTGTGTGTGTGTGTATAGGTGTATGTGTGTATAGTTGTGTGTGTGAATAGATGTGTGTGTGTATAGTTGTGTGTGAATAGGTGTGTGTGTGAGTAGGTGTTTGTGTGAATAGGTGTGTGTGTGTGTGTGTGTGTGTGTGTGTGTGTGTGTGTGTGTGTGTGTGTGTGTGTGTGTGTGTGTGTGTGTGTGTGTGTGTGTGTGTGTGTGTGTGTGTGTGTGTGTGTGTGTGCATATTGTGTGTGTAGTGAGAGTGAAATAAAAATATATGTTGATATAAATCTTAATTTATCACTCAAGATATTATCAACCCCTGATTAATTTATCCAGACATTTCTCATATTCTCACTAGCCGGAAAGCAGTTAGGTAGAATCAAATAAGGAAGTAAACAAATGAACACATTTTTAAACACATATTCACATTTTCACACATTTACATATTCAGATATCCTTGTATTCACATGCACAAGCACACACACACACACACACACACACACACACACACACACACACACACACACACACATACACACACACACACACACACACACACACACACACACACACACACATACACACACACACACACACACACTCACACACACACGTGCACACACACATGTGCACACACACATACACACACACACACACACACACACACACACACACACACACACACACACACACACACACACACACACACACACACACACACACACACACACACACACACAGCACTATAATAACTGTACTAATAGTTCTCACCTGGTAAAACTGGAACATTTCTCGCATTATGTTTATTACTGCCATTATAATGATCACCCATTTTCCAGACACCACGAATATACTTCGG